TGATTGAAATAAAGAGTATTTTAAAAAATGGTAAAATGTTAGTTTTTAATTTTTTATCAAGTTTTTTATTTTTTTGAAAAGTGATTTGAGAAGTAGGTAAAAAATTAATTTTTTATTTTTTAGTTTAATATTTGTTTATAGTGTCAAATCAAATTAAAATGACCAAAATACCCTTACCCAACATAAGAAATTTATTTATTTATCATAGACCCTAATTTGTAATTTCACACTTGCGTTTTTATAACTTCCCAAACCAATTTTGTTTCGTTTTTGGACCTTTTGACAAAAACGTGGCTTTTTATTTTGGTTCCTAAAACGGCACTAAGTGTATTTTTTGACTTTTTACGAAATATAGATTGGATTTGGGTTGGGTTTGAAGTGATGTGTTAAAAAGGTGATGTGATAAAAAGGTGATGTGACTTAAATAAGGTGATGCGATTTAAATAGGATAGTGACTTTTTGACTTTTTAACTTTTTTTAAAATACCAAACTAAGCCTAAGTTTCACATTTTTGTTTTTTGTTTTTTTAGTCTTAAGAAAATAAAATAAATTAAAAAATTAATAAAATAAAATATCATATCTAAATCATAATTATTTTATTTTTTCTTCCACAAAAATTTAAAAAGTCAAAAAATTCATTCTAAACGAGACTTTTTTTAACTCTAAACTAAAATAGTAAAAAAAAAACTAATTCACATCCCAAACAAGGCTTAACTAGGGGTGTAATTTTGGCCCGGCTTGGCTCATGTCAGGTTCTGGCTGGGCACGGGCCAGTAAACTAGGCCTAGGCTTAAGCCCAGGCCCAGGGGTATTCGGGTTTTGGGCGGGCTAATGGGCCTGACCCTTGGGTTTAGGCCTGGGTTCGGGCTTTGGGCGGGCCTAAACAATTTAAATTTTTTATTTTTTATTTTTTCACCAAAATTTTATTATTTTTCATTAAAAATAACACTGGGTCTCAGGTGCGCCGGGCGGGCAGAGCCTCAAGTGGATCGGGCGAGCAGAGCCTCAGGCCGGGCTTTTGGGCGGACCAATGGGCCAGGCCAAGCGGATCGGGTCCATGGGCCGGGCTAGGCTTCAAATGATGGCTCAAGCCCTGGCCCAAAGCCTCGAGCCCACCTCGAACAGCGAGCAGACTTCAGACCGACCGCGGGCCACGGGCCAAAATTACACCCCTAGGGTTAATACTCTCAACCTTTATTTTATATGTATATTTATATACTACTTGAAAGTTCGGCTTGGGTCAAATAGTGGGACAATGGTAGAATTTAAGAATGTCGCGTTGTTTGGCAAGTTAACTATTTTAGTAGGTTAATTTAATTTTTGACTATTTAAGTAAATTAAAAATTTTGTGTTTGGAAAGATAGTTAAATTTTTTTATAATTGGATGTGATGTTTGTGAAGAAAAAAATAAAATAATTATAGATTTGATGTGACATTTTATCTTATTGACTATTTTAACGTATTTTATCTTTTTGTAAATTTTAATCTAAAATTAGCTATTTTATCCTTTGACAAACAAGGCCTATATATATATATATATATTGAACTTCGAGTTTGTTAAGAATAACATAATGAAAAAAAATAAAATAATTTGAAGTCTATACATTTTATATATTTTTATAATAATTGTAACAAATCTTTTATGAAAGTGAAAGAATAGAAGAACCAATGAAAATTCACGTTACGCCCATTGCAAGGCTTGGGATCACACGCTAGCCCAAAGATTAAGTGATATATATTGTAATTTTAATTTATGTTGTGTTTAGTTGAGAGATTTGATGAGGAATTTAAAAAAATAAATAAAAAAAGTAGATAAAATATAAATAAAATATACTTATATTTTATCTAATTTCATACATATTTTTTAAAAAAAATTCGAATTTTTTTTTCAAAATCTTCAACCAAACACACTATATTAAGATGTCATAAAGGGTTGTAGAATAGAGAGTTGCATTCGAGAAGTTGAAAGCCTTCTTGTAATTCTTATAATCAGCCTACGTTAAGGTGCGTATAAATTGATTCGGCCATTTAAAAACAAAGAATTTGTTCTATCTCTCTTTTTTTTTTTTTTTTTTTTTTGAGGATAACGAAGCAATATAAATATTAACTAAGCAATAAGTCTTACATCAGTAGCAAGTTTGTGAGCAGCATGAACCACATCACGGTCCACTTTTTGAAGAACAACATAATCAAAAGATTTACACAAGGACAAAATGTCAGCAAGAATGGATTGGAGACTCCATTCGGATTCTTGAGTATGGTGTTGGAGCAGCAGCAGTAGGACTAAGCAATCTGTTTGAAGAAGCAGATGATTGATGCCGGACCGGTCTGCCCAGCGCATAGCATGGAGAACCGCAGCTGCTTCTACCTGTTGAGGAGATAACATTGAAGGTTCCAACATAGCTTCCTCATAGACTTGGTGATCATCAGAATCGAAGCAAACCCATGCCAGACCAGTGCGCTCACCAACAGCAACCCAAGAGCCATCCACTATAATACGCATACGCTGACCAGCAGCAATGCAAGGCTGAGCATTCTGTAAAATAACCTGCTTAACAAAACTGGTTTGAGGAGAAGAAGTAGAGTGAGAAATCTCATAAGGAACATTGTGCAAGGGTGAAAGAAATAAAGTTAGTAACTCGGAAGCAAACATGATCGGTCGTTCTATGGACACCTCAGCTTTATGGAATTCTACAGAATTACGTTGCATCCAAATGGCCCATAATAAAGCAATGGAATGTAATACAATCTCCGAGTCATGTATTTGATGCACCCATCCTTTAAACCATGAAAAAAAGGATAGAGGTTTTCCCACTCCAAAATCTAACCCCAAAGTCGAGCCACGCCAAATCCGTTGTGAAATGGGGCAATCAAAAAACAAATGTTCAAGTGATTCCGCAGTCTGGAACACCTGGAACACATAATATCAATTGGCATTCCTCTTTTCTTTAATTCAGTTTTAACCGGAAGAATATTATGAAGACATTTCCACACAAACAAGATCCATTTGGGGGGGATCTTAAACTGCCATAAGCGTTTCCAAACTTGCCAATCCGGATCAGGCCTAGAATGGTCAGGAAACTGTCGGGTTAACGCTTGCTTATAACCGGATTTGACTGAATACTCACCACTTTTGGTCGGACCCCACACCATTTTGTCGTCCATATCAACTTGAGCAATGTGCATTGATACAATATAAGGGAGGACAGATGGGGGAAAGAACAATTCCAATAATTCAAGACGCCAAGACCTTCGCATGGGATCTATGAAATGTGCAACCCTTAATCCAGGACAAAATCATTCCAACCGCGACCTCTACAAGGATTTGAAACAATCGGAATCCATTGATCCTCAAAAGGGTTAATACGTTGTCCGTTCCCCACTACCCATTGAAGTCCCGAGGCAAGTAACGAACGGCCCCATAAAATACTCCGCCATCCCCATGAAGAGGACGAAGATGGGCGAATGTTAAGAAAGGAACGCCGTTGACAATATTTACCAAGCATCACCCGAGAAAGTAATAAATTGGGACATGAAAGAATCCGCCATGCTTGTTTAGCTAACAAAGCTTGGTTAAAACACATAAGATTTCGAAAACCCAATCCCCCCCAATTTTTGGGGAGACACATATATGTCCATTTTTTCCAAAGGATCCCGTTACCCCGGGAGGAGGCCTAAAGAAACTGACGAATAAGAGACGTAAGCTTATGCTGAAATGATTCAGGCATGCGGAACACCGTCATAAGGTACACCGGAATGGATTGAAGGACATGTTTGACCAAAATACCCCGCCCTGCAAAATTTAAAAAATCACATTTCCAGCCTTGTAACTTGTGGCTAACTTTACTCAGAATTGAGGTAAATATGTCCGACTTTGAGCGCCCGGAGAAACCCAAGTTAGCCCCCAAATAGATGCCGGGTTTTGGGACAACTTTAACTCCAAAAAGAGAAACCAGCCAGTCCCTAGCCAAATGTGAAAAATTGGGACTAAGATAAAGCTCCGATTTATGAAAATTAATACGCAGCCCAGAGTAGTGACAAAAGGCATTTAAAAACCAATGGAAGCACCAAATTTCTTTTGTCTTATAGTTAAGGAATATAAAGCAATCATCAGCAAAAAGCAAATGTGAAATTGGGGGCGACTGACGACTAATAGCGATACCACGGCAAATGTTGAGAGACGCCAAATGCGCACATCCTTCCGAAAAGACATGCATTACCAATAAAAACAAATACGGCGAAAGGGGGTCGCCTTGCCGCAGACCGGCTGCAGGTGCAAAAAAATCCGATGGAATGCCATTAACCAGGACAGCAAATTGGACAGTAGATACACATTGAGAAATTAATTGAATCCACTTATCTGAGAAACCCATTTTAGCCATAACCGCTTCAAGGAAAGCCCAACTCACTCTATCATAGGCTTTATTCATATCCAACTTTAATCCAAAAGAGGACAAACTTCCCTGTTTTTTACGCTTTTTAATATATTCAATAACTTCATGGGCCAACAGAATATTATCAGATATAAGATGACCCTTCAAGAAGGCACACTGATTATCAGCAAGCAAATCTGGCAGCACTAAACTAAGTCTATTAGCCAGCACTTTTGCACCTATTTTATAAAGCACATTGCATAAACTGATAGGCCTATAATCATGAACCGTCATGGGACTCTTCGTTTTGGGAATAAGGCAGATAAAAGTTTTGTTGAGCGGTTTGAATAAGAATCCGGTAGTGAGAAAACCCAACACAACCTCTGTCACAGATGAACCCACAATTGACCAATATTTTTGATAAAAACCCGCTATAAACCCATCTGGCCTCGGAGCCTTAAACTTCCCTATTTGAAAGACAGCCTTTTGTATTTCCTCCGTAGAAAATGGATTGTCCAATAAAGTAGAATGATAAGGAGTCAAATGAGTATTAATGACACTAATTAAATTAAAATGAGAGGGAAAGGCACCTGAGTCAATGTGAGAGGCCGATGATGCTGAAAAAAGTTACTTGAAATGCGCAACAAAAGCCGCTTGGATATCCTGGGGCTGAGTGAGAACATGACCATCGTGATCCTGTATGATAGCAATGCGATTCCGACTCCGTCTCCAGGACGCCATCCGGTGAAAGAATTTTGTATTGCGATCCCCCAAAGACAGCCAATGTTGTTTAGATCGCTGAGCCCAGTAAAGCTTCTGTTTCTGTAACAAAATATCAAGATGTAACCGTAGCTCCTGTTCAGTAGAAAGTAGGCCCAGATTTGGTAGCCCCTCTTGGACCTGGCGGAGACGAGCAAGAATGTCATCAATTTGGCCTTGGAGACTCCGAAATGACAGAGCATTCCAATTTTTCAAATGTCGGTAAACAATGGTCTGCCTCTGAACACAAGTAGCAACATCAGGAGTGGGGCTGTGCCAAATTTTTTGGATAATATCCTGAGTAGACGGATCTGCTAACCAAACTGCCTCAAATCTGCTCCATTTCGGCCCAAAAGGTTCAATACGGTTAGTGTCAAGGAATAGCGGGCTATGATCAGACCGGTGAATAGGCAATGTTACAAGTGAAAATTGTGGGAAGAGGGTTGTCCAACAAGACGAAGCAAGCACCCTATCCAATCGCTCATAAACCGCTTCAATTTCCTTGCGATTATTACACCAAGTATACCACACCCCTTGAGAAGGAAGATCCACCAACCTATTGCGAAAGATTAATTCATTAAAAGCCGGTGCTCCAGGAATGGATCCTTTGTGTGTACTGAGTTTTTCGGCCCAACCTCGAACCTGATTAAGATCCCCCATAATAATGAATGGCTTTTGCAATTTCTTAAATCTGGATTCTAGACTACTCCATACTTGACCCCGAGCTAAAATACAGGGAGAACCATACATGAAAATGATAACCCAATTCCCCCTCACAGAATCATGAACCTGTAAAATAATGAAATTCGCATTCAATTCGCACACCTCCAGCAGAGTATCATCATGCCAACCAACCCATAAGCCACCAGCTCTACCATTAGAATCCACCCCACAATGATGTTTGAAACCCATGGAAGACCCAAACCGAGAAGCCTGCAGCACCGTATGTTTGGTCTCCATAAAGAAGCAAATATCGGGCTTAAGTTTTCGGATCAAATTACGAGCTGCTTGAACTGTCAGGGGATGACCCAGCCCCCTGCAGTTCCAGCTAAGAAGCTTCATGGCGAGGGAGGAGGTTGTTGTGGGACAACCTCCTGCGAAACCCGTCGCATCGGCCTAAGACTAGGATCTAAAACCAAGGCCATAAACCGGCTTGTTTGATGATGAACCTGCAGTAAATCAGATGGAGCACATGCCTGCGAGACATCATAATCGAAACCACAACCTTCCGGTGAACTGACCCCCGTGTCATATCCCGATTCGGAGGTGATAACATCCTGCACAAGATGACCCGTAGTAGGAGAAACACCCCTCCGATGGCCGCGAGAAACAAGAGAGGAGTGTCCCCGACGACGCCGAGCCGAGGAGCCCATTGACGAACTCGTGCCAGCCTGTAAATGGTTTGACCGAAGATGTAGCTTCCGACGACGACGCTGTGTCGTAAATCTGGCCGACGCCAGTAGGGGTAAATACGGACCAGCATGGGAAGGGGCATGCATGACGGCCTGAGGAGAATACCTTGCTTTCTTCCGACGACGGATATGCTTACGTAGAAACGAACCCAAACTCTGAGAAGGATACATAGAATCTGAGACCATACCCGAACCATGCATGGACGATTCAGTCGGACCATCCTGTAAAGTGCTCGGCACCATATCGGCAGCCAGCATGGGCTCTGTATCATATAGTAAGTCAAAACCGGACTCCATTTCCCTTAGCCGTTTCCTGATTGAAGGCCCACGAACAAGAGAAATAGCAGACGTGGGATGAGGAAGTGCAGCTGCTACAGTAGGTGTCTGGGGCCTAACTTCATTAGCCAACGTAGAGCTAGATTGGCCAACTTCAAGATTGGCCAAGCCCGTAATGGTCCAGTTACTTGGGCTTTCTCGGACAAAGGCCCGAGTGGTAATTGGGGCCTCGCCCATAGGAAAATTCAACCGTGGGCCAGGCCCATTAACTTGTATAACTCGAACAACATCCTCCGTTGAAGCAAGTAGAGCGCTTTGACCAGGGCCATTAATGGATCCGTAGTTAATATGCTGTTCTTGACGCGGCGAAGCTGTCAACTCGCCCACCCGTTCAGCGACCAACTGACCTGGTCTGATGCCCATTGATGAGAGATGACCCTCTCATTGATGCCACATTACCTCCAACTCACCTACCGAATCCACCGGAGCTTGACCCAAGCCCGAAAGAACATCGGACTCAACTAACCGATTCGGTGGGGAGAAGGCTGGTGAAAGAATTCCATCCCGCTGGGCAACGGCCGTCGGTGACGCACTCCCCGCGGGCGTTCCTTGTTGTAAACCGGCATCCCAATCTTGTTCCCACATAGTAGCAAAATCCGCATCCAGATTAAGATCCTGCCCATTGGGAGGTGGAGTCACGGCTTCAGGGATCTCCATGTTAGAATGTGTGGGCTGCTGAAAGATTCGAGTAGTACGACGTTCCGGCCTATGGGCATTAGCTCGAATGGTTGCAGAGTACATTGGAGACGATGCTTGAGTCATTACCGGAGCATGGAGACGTCGACTCATTTCTTGAAGATTATCATCAAGTTGCCGTTGAGCCTCTTCAAAGGACAGAGCACAAGCATTGATCGTATGACCTATACGACCACAGTTCCTACAAATCTTACAAACCCGCTCATAGCGACAACTAATCCAGTGTTGTTGACCATTGCGGAACTTAAGGAAAAAACCACTGATCAAAGGTTTATCCAGAAAAACCCACACTCGTAAACGCAAAAACCGGATATTGCGAGGCATGTGAGAATCATTATCAACTTTAACCACCTCGCCAACAGCCCGTCCTAGACGGACCCCGGCTTCTTCAGTGAAGCATTCTAACGGTAGGCCATACAACTGAACCCACACCAACATTTTATCGAAGATCAACCCATCGAGAACCAAATCTGGCTTCCAATAATCCACAATGAGAAGGGCCCCTTGGATAGCATATGGACCATTGTCGACGATACGATGCATGTCGCCTACTCTTTCGAACAGAAAAACATAGTGATTCTTACTTCGACCATATACATGCACGGATCCTTCCAGATGCCATAGATCATTGACATGCATTTGCATGAGATAAGACCCAAAACAGCGAACATCTGCTACGTATCCAATCAAGCACCGACCCAGCTCATGATGTTCTAATTGCCAGGTGGAATCGTCCAAGTCCATGCTCAGACCGCTCCGAAAGTGGTGGTGCGAAGGAGGGTGAAAGACCTGATTGGGCCGAAGATTTCGCCTTTCTTCAGAATATTCACTTCCAATGTCTGTGCCACTACTATCAGTCCAACCTCCCTTACGTAGGTAAACAGTAGCCATCAGCTTCCACGTCGAGGGATGACCTCACTTCCCTTGGGGGACCACTTGAAGTACCACAGCTGGAACACTTACGTCGGTTGACCCGAAGAATCCACCCAAAATAAAAACCGAGGGACCTACTACCGTTGACACAACAGACTTAAGCAAAAACCGCGAGAGAGAAACTTCACCACTAGAGAAGGCAAGGTATAACACAACAAAGGGGACTGAACCACTGCACCAATGATAAGCGGAAAGTCTACCGAGAAAGTAAGACAAAACACCTATAACCAACAGCCAAAAACCAACGTGAACCACAATGAAAAAAAAACAGAGTCCTCGCCGAGAGGAAACACAAGCTCTCTAGAGAGAGAAATTTTTTTGTGTGAGGATAGAAAACCTATTTCATACAAGAGTTTGAGACAAAATTAGGAGTCAATTAGTTTTTGCTTCATTCAAGGGAGAGGCTTCTTGTTCTATCTCTCATGTAAAGGTAAAATGTACAGTAGCTGTAAGACATGTACATTTACCAGACATCTCACGAATGACCGCAGATTAACATTTCTCTATTTATTTGCAAGACTGAGGGAAAAGGGGAAGGGCCCCAAAGGCACACTCCAATCAAGTAGGCCATTGAAATTTTCCAACAAATAACACCAGATGCTGTCGGGCACAACGGAAAGAGAAAGAGTACGATCTCTCTCTCTCTCTGCCTTATCCTCACATTGTCAGGCGGTTAAAAATCTCTACCCAAGTCAAAGTCTCAACTATTCAGATTATTTTTTTTAATTTTTTTATAAGAGTAATTTCGAAAGTTAGCTAAAGATTCGTTTGACATTTAATTTTTGATTAAAAAAAATTGTAAAATATAAAATTAATTACATAAATTAATAAAATAAAATATCACATTCAAATTATAATCGTTATATTTTTTTCATCATAACAGCCAAAAAAGCTGAAAAAACCAAACCAAAAAAAGCTAAAAAAGTGCCTAACTAAAAAAAATAATTAAAAAAGTCAATACCAAATGAAGAATAAAAATAATTTTTAATTTTTAATCTATTTTAAATCACATCAGACCATCTCCAACGGTGAACCAAACTTTGCATCAAATTTAAAATTTGGTGAAAAAGCCATTTTTTAAGCTCCAACGGTTTCATCAGATCGATATCAAATCCAGAATTCAGCAAAAATGGTACCAAACTGAGTGCAGGCGAAGCGTTTAACCAAATCACTGTTCCTAACCGTTGGGATGAGACGAACGGGTCGACCATCCGGTTGACCAACCGGTTAACCAACCGGTCGCCCCGGAGAAAGTTCAGACCGTTCACAAAAAGGTTCAAACCAACCCACCAAAAATTAAAAAAGTTAAAAAAAAAAGGTTAAACCCGAAAAAAAAAAAAAAAAAAAAAAATTTTTTGCCATTACCGGTTGACCGGCCGGTCGACCGGCCGGTCAACCAACCGGTTGCCCAGTGCAAATTTGATGAAACGGATTTGATGTTGAACTGTTGGAGCGCGAAGTATCAAATTAAGGAAATGACTCATTTTTCACTCAGATTTGGTGAAAAATTTGGTACACCGTTGGAGATGCTCTCACTTAATATTTTTTACGCAAAAGAACAAAAAAATGAAAAAAGTCAAAAATTAACTTTAATTAACTTTTCAAATCACCCCGTAATAATGTGCAAAAAAAAAATAAAGAGTTAATATAATTTAAGAAAAATAAAAAGATAATAAATATATTATTTTAGCATGCACCCAAACAACTTCTGAATTATATAAAGAGAGGTAGGAAAAAAAAAAAAATTATCAATTCATGAGAGAATGTAAATGACATTTACACCCCCCACAATCTTACATTTATACTCGCATATTTACAATTTTTTTTCTCTTCTCCCCTTATATAAAAATCTCAAGGCACATAAATCACATGAGGCTCAAATTATAATCGTTATATTTTTTTCATCATAACAGCCAAAAAAGCTGAAAAAACCAAACCAAAAAAAGCTAAAAAAGTCCCTAACTAAAAAAAATAATTAAAAAAGTCAATACCAAATGAAGAATAAAAATAATTTTTAATTTTTAATCTATTTTAAATCACATCACTTAATATTTTTTACACAAAAGAACAAAAAAATAAAAAAAGTCAAAAATTAACTTTAATTAACTTTTCAAATCACCCCCTAATAATATGCAAAAAAAAAATAAAGAGTTAATATAATTTAAGAAAAATAAAAAGATAATAAATATATTATTTTAGCATGCACCCAAACAACTTCTGAATTATATAAAGAGAGGTAGGAAAAAAAAAAAAATTATCAATTCATGAGAGAATGTAAATGACATTTACACCCCCCACAATCTTACATTTATACTCGCATATTTACAATTTTTTTTCTCTTCTCCCCTTATATAAAAATCTCAAGGCACATAAATCACATTACATACTTCAATAATTGAAGACCCCCAAAAAATATTTGAAACAAAAAATTTCATGTCAGATTCCAATCTAATGGGATCTCACTCTTTACTTCCAAATTTTCTCCCTACTGCACGAACAAACCACACTAGTTTAATTAGATCTCTCTTTCTCCCTTGTCCTAAATTCTCCTACCATTCTCAGCTGATGAAAAGAGAACATCAATGGAGAAAGGGTAAACAAAGCCACAGTAAAAAAAAGTCCCAACATTCAACACAGATGGGCACTGTACAATTCAACAACTCCCAAAAAAGACCGTGAAAAATAGAGAACTAGAATTCCATATATTGTCAGTAATTCAGCAGATCATAAAGAAGAAATATACTATCTTATCATCAAAGAACTTTGCATTCAAGAGGATATTGAAATGTACAATTCACAAAGATCCAAATGAAAAGAGATGAAGAAAGATGTTTATCTCACTCTCTTTGCATTCATAAGCATTCAATATCTGATACAGTTTTCTGTTTACATCATCTCTTCCAAGCCTTACACTGCACCGACACACGACAGTCTGACAAGATAAAACCAGAAACCCACATAGGACAGACTTCACTCCGGCAGGTGAAATACCTTTGCCCCAACCTGAAACAACTATCAACAGCTACCACACAAACCCACACCAACACTGACACTAACACACTCAAAAACACCTTAAGAATTTTTTTAAAGAAAAAGTAAGACCTTAGGGTCAATCCATGTAGCAGAGTTCTTCTTGCCACTGCTGTATACATTTAGGCGAGAGAGTTAGTAAAATCACACAAGGCTAGTGGTCCTACTATATCAAAGCATCACCACCTTCCTCCATGAATGGAAGGTGAAGTAAAAATAAATCTCCATTGCTCCATCCGTCAGTGGGAAAACCGAGCTCCAACACCATAGTTGGATTCTGCATTGAGAGTATAAAGATTCATTTAGGCCCGGGTAGAGCCTGTGAATAATTTTGCTCTATTCACAGACTAATAGAGGCATGACCTAACTTAGAAAACTCATCAATGACTCAATTCCTACATTGTAATTTGATGTGTCAGTCAATTAAAAACTACCCCCATATAAACAATTGTCCTATTTAATTTTTTTTTTCTTTTCTTCTTCTTCCTAACCTTTGTTAGACTTCCATTTTCCAAACCACATTGTCAATGGTGCTGTCGTGTGCTTTCTCCAGTGCTGCAACTTTAGCCGATGGGCTGCACAGGGCAATCACACTCTTTCCCCTTTCGTCTTGAGGGACAGGTTTCACTAAGGGAACCAGATCTCAAGTCGGCTGGGGGGATGAAACAGTCTATTGACAAACCCGGAACATTGAACGCAACCTCTTCAATAGTCCAAGCTTCTTCCATCCGTGTTTTAGTATGGCTCATTGCCATCTCGCCAAACCTGAAAAGGGTCACCACAGAACGCCCAGAGTGTGCAATCATGATCCCTTCAACAGGCCTGTAATCATCAAGGAACGAATTGATTGTGGTTTCCCAGTAAACTACATCACCACCATTAGATTGGATCCGGGTCAGATGAGAATCCTCCATGTGAACAAGAAGGCCAGTCTTCTGGCTAAAGTAGCCAAACAAGACGTGCCTTATGATCTCTGCTGGGCCTTCACTCCTGGCCTTCAAGGTCTGAGGATCAGCACAAAGCTTGAGGATGAAGCAATCCTCGCCATTAATCCTTTTCTCTCCAATACATCTTGCATCGGCAAACATACTGGCAGTGGTTCTGGGGTCAAGACCCTGTAAAGAACATAGCTCAAATCTGTAAATACTCAAACTACCCACACAAAAAAAAAAGCATTAAAGCAGGCACATGGGCAGGAACACAATTTCACCTGAAGGGCACGCCGTAAAGGTCTAACAGGCCCTTTAGCAGTATGGGCACCAAGCCATGGGGTGTGTCTCCAGACGAGCTTACCATTGCAGCCAGCATGAACCTTGCTTCCCCCCACTGCAAGCTCAACATACCACATGTCTGGATTCATCTGCCAGAGGACAAATCCACCTGACTCAGCATCTTTTGCTGCAATTCGATTTTTCGTTACCCTTGTGGCAGTTTCAAACTCTGAAGCTATCATCTTCACCTTTCCCATAGCATATGCATTCCGAATGGAGTTCTGCAACCTTTGCCCTCCTGATGCAGCAGTATATTGCTGTAATATGTACTGAGCAGAAGAAGATTCCTGCAACAATACCGTACCCGAACAGACTAAGTTTTATATTTTCACCAAAGTGATAAGAAAGAGAAGAACGAATAAAGAAAACAGAAGCTTAAAATCACGGGCTGCCGAAAGATAGATCGGATTGGAATTGGAATTGGAATTGGAATTGGAATTGGAATTGGAATTGGAATTGGAAACAGCCACTTTGTCAAACAATCAATAGGCCTAATACACCCCGCCAGTGGGCCGGATACCCGAGAGTTTTCGCTCCCTAAACTATAGTTCAAATTTTGAACCCCATAAAACCACGAGCAAGGATCCTCTAAAGTGATTTTTCTCTAAAGTTTCCTAGAGTGCTACATTGTGTGGATGAGATTTACTGGCAAGTCACATCAATTTTTCTGATGTGACTTACCAGTAAATCTCAACCACACAATGTTGCACTCTAGGAAACTTTAGGGAAATTTCACTCTAGAGGATCCTTGGTGTAAAACCACAGCCTGTGTTGTGTTTGATTGATGAACGGAGGAGTTGTAGCAGAACAAAAACAAGTAAAGCATGGAATCCCAACATAGGGGGCAAAAACTCTAAAAACTAAACTAAGGATGGGAGATTTTCTCACATTTGTGCCGATCTAACAATTCACATTGTCGATAAAAATAATAATAATAAAATAGGTTAACATTAGTGACAAAAATAATAATAATAATAATAAAATAAGCTAGAGATGTGCTTTTATATTTTAGAACCCAAAATAACAGGGAATGTTAAACAGAGGATTATAGTTGATTTACAGAAAAAAAATTTATTAAATTAGAAAAAAAAAAGAAAAGACAGAAAAGTAAATGATTCCACGGATCTGTTTATTGAAGTTGTTTAAGGGGTTGTCTAAATAAGTATATTTTTTATCTTTTTAAGAAAAGATCTGTAAAAAAATAGAGAGGTGATGTGATAAAAAAAAAGATAAAAGATGAATTATTTTATGTATGCCAAAATTGACCTAAATAAACCAGACTTAAACAAACAAGTACGATGTGAGAAAATGCCAAAATAACGCTTATGCCCAGTGACCCAGTCAATTTTGAGCAAAAATAACAACAATGATTCATCCCACTAAAAACATCACCACTAATAGCACTAATGTATTAAAAAAGTAAAAAAAAAAAAAAAAAACACAACCCCAGAAAAAAAATTTATTAAATTAGAAAAAAAAAAGAAAAGACAGAAAAGTAAATGATTCCACGGATCTGTTTATTGAAGTTGTTTAAGGGGTTGTCTGGGATGACTTAAATAAGTATATTTTTTGTCTTTTTAAGAAAAGATCTGTAGAAAAATAGAGAAGTGATGTGATGAAAAAAAGATAAAAAGATGAATTATTTTATGTACGCCAAACTTGACCTAAATAAACAAGACTTAAATAAACAAGTACGATGCGAGAAAATGCCAAAATAACGCTTATGCCCAGTGACCCAGTCAATTTTGAGCAAAAATAATCATCATAAAGAAACTCAAAATAAAATGTCAAAAATCATATGACGTAATCTGAAAAATAAATACTGTCATAATACGGAGATAATGAATGAATGAAATGGAATAGCAAAACTTATATAATTTCCTCGAAACTATTATGGTCAAAAAAATCAAATAACGCCACAAATTTGGCAAAAACAGAGAAACAATTCCCAAAATAACGAAACCCCGAAAACACATGAGAGAGAGAGAGAGAGAGAGAGAGACTTACAATGGGAGTATCCTTGATGCTGAGGTGGGGCAAAGGATCATTGGTGCTAACGTGCACAGGGGCGAGTGGAGCGCCCATAACACCGAGCAACAATCTCAGATCAGACCGCTTATATGCATTCGAAGAAGCCACTGATGGAGTCCTCGAGAGATGTCCCTTCATCCACTGCCCCAACCCGCCCCGCTTCGAATCCCCGACTTCGCCTCCGTCAGGATCCGGACCCTCCATCAACGGCGTCAGTGTCTCTCCGACGATCCTCATGCTTCCGGATCTCACTGACAACGGCTCAGGATTCACCACGTGGTTCTGTTGCTTCCTCCGTCGGAGCAGACCCGACATCGGCGACCCGCTCCGAGCCGGGCTCTTCGCACGTGACCTCGCAGGAGATAGCCCTCGCACCACCTCTTCTTTCAAAGCTGAAAAGAATCCCTGTTTCTTCTCCATTTTTGAAGCCCTAGCTCGGCTCCAAAAGTGAGATTCACAAAAACCAAACCAAACCAAACCAAACACTTGTTTCTGTTTCTCTCTCTATATATAGGCGTTTCTAGAGAGAGAAGACGATGAAGACAAATGCGACTGAACTCTACTCATAGATGAATCATCTCACACTCGTATAAACTCCGATCAACGAGAAATGGAGGTAGGAGATGAGCCGAAACTGAAAATTCGGTAGTTTCTTAGGGAGAGAAATGAGCAGAGAGAGGTTGCCGCTGTTTGGTTGGAGAGAAAGTTGGATTTCTAGAGAGAGAATACTCGGTGGAAAGCAACAGTGAGAAACTGGAACGAGAATCACGATTTCAAGGGAGTGGTGGTTTTAGAGAGAGAAAGCGAGAGGGCAGAGAGAGAGAGAGAGAGTCCAGGGGAGAAAAGAGTGTGATTTGAGGAGAGTGTGTGAAACGTGAACGGACTTTGAGAGAGAGAGAGAGAGGGAGAGAGAGAGTGTGTGCGCGCCAGTGTGAATATTGTGGCCTAGTCGTTAGTGGAGAGACTGAGAGTGCGGCAGTGTTACATCTCACGCGCACGTATGGAGCGTGAACTGTGCGCTCGAGATACAAAGCGTTAGAAAAAAGAAAAAAGGAAATTACAAATCAATAGTAATAAAAGAAAAAAAAAATTAATTGAGAAGATTTTTTTTTTTTAAATATAAGACTGCAAAATAACCTATGGAGTGTTTTAGAAAGTTGGTGAATAATTAATTTTTTGATTTTTTAAAGTTTATTTTATTTTTTTGTGAATAAAAAATATGAGAAGTAATGTAACTCAAAATAAATAAAAAAATTAAAAATTAACTTTTTTTTTGCGCTTTCCAAAAGACCCCTATAACTTGATAAATTATTTCGAAGTCTTGAACCTCCTTTATCTCACGCTATTTAGTTTAGAATTTTTAAAATTTTTAATTCATTTTTTTATATTATTAGTAATTTTTTTAATATTTTAATCATTTTTTTTTAATTTTTAGATATATTTAATCTTGATATATGAATTTTGCATTTTTTTTAAAAAAAAATTCATTGATACAACAAAATACAAAAATATATTAAAATTTCCTATTCTTTTTGTATTTTTTGTATTTGGTAAATTTTTTTCACAAATATTATAATTTTTAGGTATATCTAAAAAATAACAAAAAATTGCATAAAATATTTTTTAAAAACAAAAAAAATGAAAAATAAATCTCAATTTTATGAAAATTGAGTTAGACCAAACAAAGTTCCAAATTCATAATTGCAAATTATTAATTTTGAGAAGGTCACTCCAAACTACCCCTCTTATCAAATCTACGATTTTAATGAAATATAAATGAAATTAGATACTTTCTTTATAAATATAACTCTTACCGTAAGTTAAAAGGATCACAGGTAAAAGTTTAAGGATAATGCTTGGGACCCCTTTTGGGGGTCATTCCCTCACCCCCTTTTGTCACGTGGCAGTGGGTGATTGGAGGAATAGGAAAAAAAAAAAAAGAGAAAAGATAACCAATAAGAGAGAGAGAGGGTCAAGGGGGTGGGAGAAAAGGGGGGATGAATCATTACTCAAAGTTTAATGGTGTCTAATACCGAACACATCTAACACTTGTAACCATGCTGCTTGTCATTTACACTAAAATTTGGTGTATAGGGTTGCAAGGAGAAAGGAATGAAATGCAAGGTGAGAGGGTAATTTACACTAAACTATTGGACCGGACTAGCACTATGTTTGAATTGAATGATTTAGAGAAAAAAAAGAAAAGAAATGGAGAATTTTGTATTTTTTTACTTGTTTGGATAACTTAAATGAAGAGAATCATTTTTAATCTTTCCAAAAGTGGAGAGATTAGGAGTGAAAAGAAACTAACAGATTTTTATATTTTTATAATACCAATTTTGTCCATGTAAAAATAAAAAAAAATAAAATGATTGACAAAATATAAAAATATTATTTTGGTAATATAACATAAAATAGTTTCTTTTCTTTTCTTTTATGAAATCTAACCAAACAAAAAAGAGAGAAATCAAAATCATTTCATTTCTTTTAAATCTTATTTATTCAAATAAGAATGAGAGAAATCACAATCATTTCTTTTATTTTCTTTTCTCTTATAACTTAAGTAATCATTTCTGTTCTTTTCTCTCCTAAGTTCCCAAACATAGTGTAAATCAATACGGCCCTTTGAGTTGGACCTTAACATGGCCCTTTGAGTTGGACTTTGCTAAATCAGTATGGACCTTTGTTTTGGACCTTGCTATATTAGTATGGTCCTTAGCCTTGAGTCGGCCTGTAAACTTGCTGACTTGAAGGTTAGGATTGAGTTATGAATGTTCGACTGGACAAACAGTATGTGAATATACTGGGCAAATGAAATGAGCATGTCGGCCATGCGGAATGACCCTATTTAAGTCATTTGACTAGAGTGAAGAACTTAACGAAAAGATAAACCAGACAAACTTAGCATGGTCTTGGTGTTGAGTTTCAGGTTGGCGATATTATCTGAAGTTGGTAAGATTCAACCGAAGCGGTTGCACAATTGACGTGCAACAGGGTTAGAATCTTGAGTTAGATTGGTTGCCGGCCTGAGAGTTAGGTCGATTCACTTGAATTTAGGTAATAAGGGTGTTAATGAATAAGCCTTATCCTTTGAGAATATGACTCTTAGGCCTCGTTTGGGAACATGCTAATTTAGTAACTTTTTGGCTATTTGGCTAAAATATGAGCTAAAAAAAAATAGTATTTTTGGGATGACTTTTTGACTTTTTACGAAAAGATGTGCAAAAAGTAGAGAGAAAAGAGAATCTTTGACTTTTTGGTATAGGTTGTCGGCTTTTTGACTAATTTAGTAACTTTTTAGCTTTTTGGCTAAAAAGTTCGATTGCCAAACGAGGCCTTAGTAGGAATCTACGAAGATGAATTAAAGTCCTATTAAGATTCAATCGTGCATAATATATACAAAAGCTCAGTGTAAATCCTAACAAAGGTAACACCCTTTAATTACATAATTTATATACGAAAAGATGTGCAAAAAAGTAAAGAAGTGATGTGATGGAAAAAAAATAAAAAGATGGATTATATTAGGGATGCCAAACCACCCCTTAATTACATAATTTATAGAGCTTTTCCCATATAGATCTTGAGAACTGACTTAAGTATCAGAAGAATTTTTCAGCACACACTCGCCGAGTAACTTGTTGGAGTGGTTTTGCAGGAGGAACGATATCGTTTAGAGGATTTCTAATTTGATCACAAAGAGTACACGTGCAAGATATTTTTTTTACTCGTACATAGGGGTTAAGGATAGCTTCAGTTGTTTGGATTTTAAAAGAGAGGGTTGTAGGTGGAGTAAGGATTGGAAGGGATAGCTATAAATAGTAGAGGGGTTGCAAAAAAGGAGTTATGGCTGTACGGGAAAGAAATAAACCTTATCGTATAATCCTGTTGATCAAGTCTGCGCTCCTCCAAACGTTGTCACTTTACTCCCTGAAAACACAAACGTGAGCTAGCCGGCGGGTGTGTGCCGGAAGCCCCTCCAATGCCTAAGTCAGCAAAATAGACAAGTAGACAAAAAGCTTTATGTATCAAAGTTGTGTTACCTTCCCATAGGTGATATTTGTGAGCTTTTATAGGTTCCGTGTGGCACAATCCAAGTAGGACTCTTACTCCTCCATGTAGAGTCCTCCTAGGATTCATACTCCTGAAAGATAACGCTTATCCTTCAACACCCTCCTCACTGCTTAATCCAAGTGAGATGGTTTTATCATGGTCGGATTCCACTATGACCGAGGTAAGCATGGCTAATGCTAAGCCGCAGACTAGACCGAGCTAACTTTAGTTCGGCTCTTCCATTCACTGCTCTTACCCAGGTTTCTCCTAGCGCCAACCATGGTGTGATCAGACCGAGCTATCAAACAGCAAGGTTCTGGCCGAGATAATCTCGATAAGCCAAGACCGGACTAACTTTGAATACGGCAACCGGGCTATGTTCAAAGCTTCCTTTAGATCGGAGTAACCTCAAGATTCTCTCGGACCGGAGTAACTTTATACCTCTCTTGGGCCGGAGTAACTTTACACCTCTCTTAAGCCGGAGTAACTTCATGGTCTTTTTACTCAGTCCTTCGCAACATGGCCCACAACGGCCCATTACCCAACTCGACCCAATTTATAAGTATAAATTACCCTCTCAATTGCCCCTTAATTTTATCTGCGCAGCATGATAGAGATTACCTGTTACCGGCCGAGCTAAAAAATTCCAGAATTCCAACCGAGGTAGAATCATTTAGCCTTTCCAGCCGGGTAAAAAACTCTTTTAGTTTTTCCAGCCGGGCTAAAAAACCATCTTAGCCTTTCCAGCCGAGCTAAATTCACACCAGGTTGTACTTGTCCGGTCAAAACGTCTCTTCAGTCACAGTAACTGAAACGCTTCATATTTCATGGACACGTGGCATGCTCTTATTGGCTGAAGGCAGCTGTCACGCTGCCCTCGTACCTCGTGTTTTTTGAACAGTTCCTGCCTTTTCGTCCTTTCATCTACACAAAACAAACCTTTGCTATTTCGAATCACTGCTCATCTCCTTCTCTCTCTCTTCTAACCTCCACTGTCCTTCAACCTTGCAATTGTGAAGCTCGTGTTTTGCTGCTGCCTTGTGCTCCTATCCTCTAGGCTGTTCGATCTTCATCAGGTAAGCATCATAAATCTGTTTTATTTTTCATGTTTTCGTATTTGTTCAATCCATTGTATTTTGTTTTATGTGTTTTTGCAAAACACACTCTTGCTTTCTACTTCTACTTCATTTGCATGTTTCTGAAAAAACTTAGCAATAGAACACTCGAATACATGTAATACCTTGTAGAACACTGGTTTTTGATCCAAAATCATAATGCAACCGGACTAGGATACTGTTTATGCTATGTGTAAGTCTAGCCAGATCGTTCAATCGAACCAACTCTTGTACCAGTAGTTTTAACAAGTCAAAAAACCATCTTTTGAACTTATCTTAGCCGAGATAACAAACCAAACTAAGTCTGCACTTAGAGTGTTTGAAGGCCTTAATTCCGACCGAACTATCTTGGGGCTAAACCAGCACTCTTAGTTCAGACCGAACTAAGAAAGCTTCCCTAGAATTTCAACCGGTCTAACAAATCACTTGCTGCAACCGAGCTACCAAGCACCCTGCTGAAACCGAGATAGGACCTGCAACATTTCACAAAGTCGAAGTAGGACTTATCTTGTTTTTACTTTGTAGCACGGTCGAAAGATCTGTGCTTAACACTTCTGTTTTTTCACTTTGCAGACTTAGGTTGCCCAGGCACTCCGTTTGATCGCTCAACCGAGGTACACAGCAACATTTTCCGACCGAGCTAGCACCAAGCATAATTTATACGTAACTTAGGAGTAAATGGGTAAATATAGGTTTTTAGTAGAAACACCAGGTGGCAT